GCAGCCCATGTGGCTCCCCTGGCACCCTATGGGCTCTGGMGGAGTGGAGGGTGGGGAGGAGCTGGCTGACCTTCAGTCCTTCCTGTGCACTTGCCTGCTCTCCCATGGCTCTCTCCATGTTGGATGGCCACGAGTTTCTTTAGTTTTTGTTTGTCTCTGTGTTCTCCATCTCCATTTCTCAATCATCTCCAATAAAGTTCTATAATCTTCCAAACTGGAGCGCAGTCTACTTTCTGGGTGAGCTGTGCAGCACCGYGGGACTGGGAGCTTGGGAAGACCTGCCTGTCACTCCAAACTCCCTTTCCTGGAGGGGACCAGGGTTCAGATGCGGGTGGTCACCATCCGAATATCCGCAATGATCACTGGGGAGCGTGGCTGTGTGGTGGGGGGGCAGGGTAAGCTCTCATTTCTTGCATGATCCATTGGTAACCCTGCAAACATCACTACCCACTAAAACAGCCTCCCATGCATCACAGTTTGCTTTTTAGGCAAAATTCTGGGCCAGTTAGTTGAAGGGAAAGAACATTTTTCAATTTAATTCCAAAGTAAACCTCCAGCTSTGACACAGAAACACTTATTTTCCTGTAGATTTATTTTTTATCTTAGCAAACATCTTCCAATTGCTTTAGAGCTTCCAAGCCCTCCTTCAGCTGGCTCTGAGGGGTTCATAGGCAACATTTCCAAATTGCAAAAGTAAAGTGGAGATGAGGGTTGGATCTTCTTGAAAATTCTTGAAACATCATTTCCCCATTGTCCCTATAAAAACAGTGCTCTCCCATCCTGTCAGAGGACATCTGCCTGGAGTTCTGGGGAGCATCTCCCTTTGCCTTTGAGAACTCAGGGTGTTGCAACACAGTCCCCGACACACCCAAGCAGCTCAGCCTTCCGTCATCTGCAGATTGATGGGTGGATCTAATGCATCCCTGCAGAGCCCCAGGCCTGCAGAGCCAAGCTTGGCTCCTGTTCTCCTGGGTCTCTGAGGCAGGAAAGTAACCATGGATGTCCCTTGGTGGAAAATACATTCCCAGGATCAATATGTCCCAGTAGGGTTCCTTAACCTCTCCCTTCAATCATAGGTGTAGACAGAGGGAAGAAAGGTGACCCAGGAGTGGGGCCTGATCATGGCTGCACCAGGGTGATCACCGCACATGGCCTGAGGAGGGAAGTAGTGATCCAGGAGGCACCTACCTGCTAGGTGCCACTCAGGTCCTGGCTGAGAACGAGCTTCCTCACAGGGTGTAACTGGAGGGCAGGTGATGAGGACCATGGACACTTGCAGCAAGGTCCAAGGACAGCCAGGCATGGTGCATCACCAGCCATTGTCCCAGGTCTAGTGCAAGGGGAGGGTAAGGGCCCTGGAGCCAGGGACAGGAAATCCACAGAGGACCACATCGCTGCCCCTCCAGCTGCAGGGGAGGGCAGGAGGTGGAGCTGCCCACAAAGGCCATGCCCCTGGACACAGCAGGCCATAGAGGGAATCCCAGGGCAGGCCACCCTGCGGGCTCTGTTCTTGCTGCACACAGGGCTCTGAGGATCTCGCTCATCCCCGAGAGTCTCCAGGCCACCCGAGAGGTGAGCGTTCAAATCACCATTCTGCAGACTCAAGAACAAGGAGCCGTCTCCTTTCCACAGTGCTAGTGATGGACATTTTTATTTTATCTTATTTTTATTTCATTTTATGCCGAGAGTGAAGGATATGTCCTAGGAATTTCAAAAGCTCTTGTGAGGAAAGTCCCTGGTTCCCACGTGCTTCTGGGTAAAGAAGGTGACTTCTTCTTCTACTCTTTATGATGAAAAGTGAAACTCTTCAAAATGCCCAGCAAACCCCCCACGTCCTGGGAAATTCAGTCCAGTTACATCAGTCCTGGGCGAGAGGATCTCTTCCTACACCGTCTAAATGAGGAGTGCAGCACCCCCAGGCTAGGCCCAAAACTTAGGTTTAAGTTTTAAGAAATTGAATAAACTAGGAGGAGAAACTCTTCAGGACCACGCAGCTGGAAACCCGCAATAACCACCCCTGTCCTGCCTCTTCCCCCTCCAGCAGCCGCCAGTCACTTTCTGATGGTGCCTTGTGAAATGTCTCCTTATTTGTCCCTGTCAGGCCACCAGAGTGCTTGCTGCCCTGGGCACAACAGGGTCCCTCCTGCTCACCCTTCAGGACAACCTGTGCCTGGCCCAGGGAAGAGCTGGGTGAGGCCCACTGAGGGCCGATGGTTTTCTTCTCAAGGAGACTATGGCCCCTCCTCAGAACACACAGAAGTGACCACACAGGATGTGTTCTGAGCCCCGCAGGCTCCACTCACCATGCAAATGGTCTTACATGGAAGACCCAAAGGCCCACGCACTCCTTCCTGAAGAGGGTGCTGCCCAGGCAGACCCGGGACGTCCCAGCCTCCCATCCAGACCCTGTGTTCACAAGTGGCCAAGGACGGCCCCAGTGACTGAGGGTGTCATGGTTCTTCACTAAAGAAGCACCAAGGGCCTGGCGGTGCCATGCAGGTCTCTTGCCTGCACAGACAGGGCTCTGCAGGACAGGGACACCCTTTTTCCAGCTCTGACTCAGTGGGCATGAGAGCTGCAGCCCAGCGGAAGGGAGGCTTGGGTGGTCCCTCCCCAGCTGCTCTCTGCCTGGACAGAGGAGGAGGCCTGAGCAGCCTGGTTTTCCAGGGAGAATGCCTTCATTGTAGCTTGCTCTAGCCTATTTTCTTTAAAATGAGCAACACACTGGGAAATTCACTTGAGTTTTTCCAAGACCAGGCTGGCTCTCTCTCTGGCTGCATATGCGCAAGTCAAGAGTTAGTTTCTCTGGCAGGTTTTTTTTTTTTTTTTTTTAATTTCTCATCTTCTAGTGAGAAACTTTTCACCATCATTGCTAGTTACTTCCAATGAACGTTAGTTTTTGACTGGTTATAAATATATTAATGCTCAATCTTAAAAAAAAATTCCTTTGAGATGTAATCACTCTTTTCATATATCAAAGAATGGAAGCCCCAGAATGCTTTTGTCAGCCCTGAATGCTCAGAAATTACAGAAAAACAAGAGAGGTCCCTAGGCTGCCCCATAGGCTGTCCCTGATTGGCACTGCCCTGGCGTCCCAAGCTGCATTGCACAGTTGCGGATCCCAGGGAAGCAAGATGGGGATGTCACCTGGACTCTCTGTCCAGTATTTAGACTTGAGGTCCACGTTGATCCTGCAGAGCTGCCTGCCCACCAGGGCCCTCAGAGATGAAGCCAGTCTGAATTCACCTTCAGTAGCTTGCAGTCAAAAGGGTTCCAGGTGCCACATTAGTAGTTATTTTGTCGTGCCTTACAGGCAGTACAAGACACAATGACCATTATACTAATATCTCACCTCAACGAGCATTCTTGTTTTGAAGGCAGGCCATAATAACATCCTATATCTTTATAATGATTTTGCTTTTTCAACATACTTGAGTGTCTTATCTTTTGCAAATAGGCAGGAATGGAGCACTGACACCCTAACTGCGACTGGTGTGGGTGTTAGTCTGCAAACCCTTTCTTTGGAGGGTCCGGAGTAGATATTGTAGAGTGGTAGGCCAAGAAGCAACGCTAGGCAGAGGAAGGAACTGTACACAACCTTTTGAAATGCAGACATTAGAAGAGTTGAAACCGCTGCTATCTCATGAGGGGTGTAGGCAGTAGAGTGCGTGTGGCCCACGGTTACAGTGGATATGATAAGCCAAGAGGGATCATTCTCCAACCTCAGTGTTCACAGATCCTCCTGACAGATGTGCCTTCTGGTAGACATCTGGCATCATTGTCCATTCCCCACCTCTCAGTGAAAGCCAGATTTTCCCTTGATACCCCACACCCACCAGCTCTCAGGGTGATCAGGTTCCCCAGGCCTGGCCAAGCAGAGCACTGAGTCTCGAGCCTTCAGTGTTTGGCTTCAGGCTGGTGCACGGCAATCAATTATGATCCTCATCAGAGCCAGCCCAAGGATGTACATGTGTGATTGGCAACAAGGATTTATTTTTTTCTTACTGGATGTAATACTATGAAAGTGCCAGAATGGCACTGTCAGGGCCACCTCGGGGCTCTAACAGAGAGTCACAGAGCTGAGGGAGGAAGAGAAGACACAGCCCTCCTTGACGATATTGTCAGGGCTCTGGGGTTTGAGCACCCGTGTGGCCTGCAGCGGCACTACTGGCATGACCTATGAAGTTCTTAATCCCAACCCAGACCTCCTAAGTCACGTGTGCAAGCACATTCAAGTCCGAGAAACACTTTCTAGACCTGGACGTTCTGTGAGCCAAGTCTAAGTTGGGTTGGGTTTGCAGCCCTTGATACCCAAAGAACCTTGATCCACCCATTCCTGGTCATCCTGAATGCAGTCAAGCAAACAGGCTGTGTGCTGGCCGCCTCTCGCCAGTGCAGGCTGCTAAGCATGACTGGGCACTAGAGGACGGCAGGGCGAGGCACAGCACTGAGCATTGTCTGCATGGTGCACCTCAGATTGAATTGCAGCCCACCCGGAGCCTCTTGGAGCCCCTGCCGATCAGGCTCCTTCAGTCTGGGGCACTGAAGGWGTGTAGCCAACATGTCTCTCATGCATGGAGTAGGGATCAGGAAGAGCTAGAGGGTCCCTCAAGGACTGCACGGTCCAGAGCTCCCTGAGCTTCCAGGCACGCAATATAACCAAGAATGACATTTGCTGACTCAGGTCCCCAGGACTTCAAAGTCACTTGTTGCCACAGCATAACCTAGCCCACCCCAATAGGTTCGCAGCATGGCCCACAAAGCTTCTTAATAGAAAAGAAACAGAAGAAAGGAAATGGACTTAAAGAAGAGGTAAGTAGGTAAGGATGAATGTGGCCTGGGCGTGGCAGGCACCACGAGGACCCATAGCCAGGCTGAGCTCACCGAGTCAATAGTGGCTTCTCCCGGCTGGAGGGAGGTGGGAGGCTGGGGGGTCAGCACCCCTGGGGTTGCAACAATGCACGCCTTGAGGTGGGGGCGGCCAGGGCAGCACATCTTACCATGGCCAGCGGCACGATGCCCACTAGGTCCTTCTGGCTGATGAAGATCTCGGATACGGTGATGTCGGTGGTCCCCTTCCGCGGGTATTCCACCTGCCACGTGATGGGCTGAGTCCCCGAGAGGCTGCTGAAGCTGGCGATCTCAAAGTTCATCTGCACAACCTCGCTGAACAGACTGCTGCTTCTGGAAGGGAGCAGAGGGGAGTGGCGTCAGGCTGACTTCCTTCAAAGACCCTCTCCCTTCCCCCTCCAAGGCAATCTTAGACTCTACAGATAAAGAAGAGGCCAAGGTTTGGTGGGGCACCTGGCACAGGCCACCACCTCCAGCTTGGGAGTGGGTGGCCAGGATGGAGCAGCAGCCACACATTATGGGTCTGGGATTGGGGTGTTGAACATGGAGCTAGCATCAGCCTGGGTCTCAAGGAGGCTCCTGATGAAGAGATAAGCCAGTGGGCCTGGGCTGGCTGTATGCATTCGTGTGGCCTTGAACTAAGCAGGCCCCTTATATTAGTGTCAAACATGCAGCAGATGCAATATCGCCTCCAACCCCTGCCCTCTTTCCTAGCTGGTCCCTTCCTCTCTCCTTAGGGACTAAGAAGTTCGTCCCACTCCCAGGCTCCCCTGCAGCCAGAAGGAGGCTCATAGCAGGGTCCACCAGGCAGGTCCCACTCATCCGGGGCTCAGGGATAAAAGGGGTCAAGAGACATCAGCAGTGGAGGGGGCTGGCATTCCCTGGAGAGCTGAGTTCCGGGTTCTTCAGGGCGACTGTGGGTGCTCCTGGCACCCTGGCCCTCATACTCTCAGCCACTGGTGTTGGGGACTGCAGATCAAGTCAAGATGGCGCCTGGCAGTTTGCCAGGAGGAGTGGTTTGTGAAGCAACGCCACTGAGCCATTAAGTTGGTGGAGATTCCTTATTGGCTGATTGCTATAACTGGATGATGCTAATTGAGTCAAGCTGTGTATAATCAGTTAGGTATATATACCTCTGCTACCTTGGGTGCCTGCTACCTTGAGTTCCCGCTCAGTTTTTCCTACGATAAAGCAGTTCCCGCTTCAACCTTCAAGTTGCTTGTCACCTCCCGGTTATTTTGCCTAGCCGGGCTGCGGCACGCTGGTGCTGGTGTCTGCAGAGCCTGGTCACTTTTTCATGGTCTCTATTATCCCTGCTGCCCTGGCTCTGGCTAGGAGGTTAATACCTTCAATTCGGCACCTCTCCCAGTCTCCCAGGGTTGTCTGAATCGCCTAGTGTACTTCAGTGAAGCCTCTTGTGCTCAGAAGGCCTCCTTAGCTGGAGGGTCCCTGTGTCTGAACTTAAGAATTCCGACTATACTGTGCTTCCGGGGGCAGGGGGCCCAGACAGGTGTTCAGCAAGCTCACCTAGCATACTTCAGAGCCAGYGACAGTCCAGACTTTCTCAGATGATGAAATTTAGGCCTGGAAAGGGAACATGGCTTCCTCTGACCTGAGTGGCAGCATCAACACGGAGCACTGTGTCTCCTGCTCCCTAGCGCAGTGCTCTTTGGCACCAGCCTCTGTGGCCAGACACGACCTCCCAGGCACCAAAGGACCTTCTCAAGACAGGGAACAGCCAACTGTGTCCTTGGACCAAACAGCAGCTGGCTACTTTGGCAAGTCACGCTTTATTGGCGCAAAGCCCTGTGGGACAGCTTGCATTCTGTCTGTGGCTGTGTTGGTGACACGGAGGCAGGTGTGAGTCACGGCATCGCCTTCATATCCTGAAGCACACATGGTCTGGACCTTCGGGGGAACCTGCTGGTCTTCGCCATCGGCTGGAGAAGGAAGGTGGCTGCACTGTCCACAGCTGTTTAATCACCAGAACTGAGGAGAACCAAGAAGGAGGGGTGTCCCAGTGTCYCTGGCCACTTGGCCAGGGTCCTGTGGAGCCTTGAGGTTCAGACCAGGATTGCCTAAGCAGTGGGTCAGCCTTCGGCAACATCTCAGGCTGGCATCTAGAGGGTAGGCCACCTGTTTGCAGGCAAATTCAAGGGGGGTTTTCCAGTGCACATTAAGGAAGACATACCAGATGCACTCAGCAGTGGCCCCSTGAGCGTGCGCTGGTGCTGGGTGGAGGCGGGCCGCCTTTCCCTTTGCCAGGGYGAGAATCAGCCACAAACGCACCTGCGGAGTCTTCAGGGCTTGCTCCAGGCTGAGGGCTACATGCACTTGGCACAGTCCGTGGCTGAGCTGGAGGTAACGGATGCACCAGCCCAAGCTCTGGGACAGGTGGATCCTCCATGAGYTCTCTGAGCCTGAGGTGGGGCCCSGAGAATCGTGATTAATGAAACACCAGGATCCCTCTGGAAGGGAAAATAAACCCAAGGTCTGGACAATCCAGTTGGGCTGCAAATCTCAGGAGTGAACCTCTGGTCTTGGACAATGAAGGATCTGGGGTCTGGAGTGTTTCCAAACTGGGAGATGAGCTCTTGCTCCAGGAACCAGAGGCTCTGGCATCTATGCTGCCCGATGACCTCCAGGGCGTCCTCCTCCCTGGCCACAGGCACTCCTGGGTTTCCAGGGCTTAATCTTGTTCTCCTAGTGAGGACACCGGGGACCTCCCCACCTGCCATGGAGGAGGGTCCTGCTGGCTAGGCCTGCTGGAGGTGCCACCGCTGCCCGGCTACTTGGTGGACTCCTGCCAGCAATGGCTTGGCCCTCCTTGGGACAGCACATGACAAAACTCCAACTACCCATGGGCTCGGTCTGCGGAGGCCCCCAGGAGGCCTGTCCTGATGCCAGGCTGCAGAGTCTCCAGGGCTCCCGCCTACACCTGGCTGCATCTCCTGCAGCATATTCTTTTGTGACCATCACCAAAGCTCTCAAATCTTTCTGAGGCTCAGCGGCATCACCCCCACTGGAACACCGGTGTTCCCACCACAGGAAGGGGAGCAGCCTGCAGGGGACAGGACTCCACCTGCTGCAGCCACAGCTCCTGCAGCTCAGCCAAGGCTGGGAACGACGGCTTGACTCAGAACAAAGAGGAAGCAATGTTTTCCCTGGTGCTGAAGGACTGGGAGGTATGATCTTCATGAGCGATGAGGTTACCTGCCCAAGGTGGGGTTTTTATTTTTGAACCAAGGATTGAACCCAGGGGTGCTTTACCACTGACCCACATCCACAGCCCTTTAAAATATTTTACTTAGAGACAGGGTCTCACTGAGTTGCTTATGGCCTTGCTAAGATGCTGAGGCTGGCTTTGAACTCACGATCCTCCTGCCTCAGCCTCCTGAGCCGCTAGAACTACAGGTGTATACCACTGTGCCTGGCCTTTCAAGGGGTTTTGYTAAAGTGCATACAGAATGGAAAGAAGACCCTACTGTTAATGAGATTCACTATGTTCCAGGCACAGGCCCAGGCTCCATGCATGCGTCATTCCAAACCCCACTGAAAATCCGCAGGGTGCATGGCTGCCGAGACTCCCAGTTCACACCAGTGTTGGAGCAGAGACTCCTGACTCTGCAGCCAGGGATGGCTTTGCATCACAGAATTGAGGGCAATAACTCTGCACGTCCCTGTTTGAAACATGCTGTGGTCCCCCCCTGGGGCTCTCAGCACTCTTGTGAGCCAACTGAGCTCAATTTCTGTTTCAGAATAAAATAATAATAATAATAATAAAAAAGTTTGCAGTTGGAGGAAAACTCCAGCCGCCTAAGAGCTGGGCAGAATTACAGGCAGAGTGATATCAGGACGAGCCCCTGGGTCAAGGGGGACGGGGACRTGTGCTTATTTAGAACATTGACATCAGACTCTCAGGCAGCGGAGACCTCAGAGAGACGGAGGAGACGTCCTGGGTCACAGGGAGCCCAGAGGCATGTGTGGGAAGAGGCCACCCAAGGCCGACCTGGCAGAGACGGGCCGGTGCCTGGGAGGCTCAAGCCTGAACTGGCTGACTGGGARCAGGGGGTACAGACTTCATACCCTGTTTATTTAGTTCTCTGCACAGGTGTGGCTCTATCCCCTCCTCAGTGGCCAGCCAGCCTTAACTTCATCTTTTAGAGCATGTGGGACGTATCAAATTACAGGGAGGGGAGCTACTAGGGAATCSGGCACTGTGGAGAGGTGAGCGGAGAGGGCGACCGGTGCCCACGGCCTGCTCTGTTCCCTCTGAGCGGAAGCCTTGCTGCGTGCCTGCGACRGCTGCCTTCTCAGTGCGGGGTAGAGAAAGATGGTTCCAGAGAGGCTGGGAACCTGTGCTTTTCTATGGAATCTCTGGATAACAGCTCTTTCGGCCCCGATGTGGCTCAGACGGCAGCTCCACTTGCTGTCTCTGGTTGGGAACTCCAGTGGCCGTGGGTTCCTCCACACCTCTATCTCAGAGGCTTCCTCCGTCTTTCTGGGAACACTTTGCAGAAGCTCCTTCACTGAGGTGGAAGAGGCCTGTCCTGAGGACGGTGCAGTGTGATTTCCCAACTGGGTCCCCAGGACTCCAAAGGGGTGAGCAAGAGATGGGCRTGGCTACGTGGGTCCTGAATGCCACTGGGTCCCTATGTCCTCATGTTGCCAAATAAGAGCAGCCGTGGCCTAGGGGTTCAAGACATTGGGTCTCTAGGAGGCATTTATTTCAAGGAATGAAAGAGAAAGAAGGAAAGAAGGAGATGAGGGAGAGAAGAGGGAAGGAAGAGGATGGAGAGTTAGAACCCAGACTGTGTAGAAGAGCAGGCCAGGAACCCCCACCCAGCTTAGGTGGGGTTGGAGTAAAAAAGAGGAATTTCAACACTTATGTGACTCCAGAAAGCGTCCAAGAGCCATCCCTTGCTAAAATCAATAATGGGCACTTATTGCAGTGACTCTTGAAAGAAATTTTCAAAATCGGCTTAAAGAAGCYCTTACTGAAAAGCAAATAAATTCCCCCAATAGTCACAATAGTGTTTGGACCACCGAAAATTCAATGTACCAAGCCTCTTATCTATTGGGCTTTATCTGGTAAGAAAGTCTCAACGCCAGAGGGACTTGGCCTCCCCACTCCGGGGGAGGGCACTTCCCCTCCTTAGCTGCAGAGAGAGAGGAGAGCCACAAAGGGAAGAAAGGAGCCTCGGAGTGGGGCTGCCCCAGGATATCGGGGCGTCTGCCCCAGGCCTCGCTTTATTCCTCTGCTTCATGTGCATTGGATGAAGGTGGGCACACGTCCTGTCCCCAGACCCCAGGTCCATCCTGATGGCCTGTGT